CAAGCATATTAAGTTCACTTTATTAAAACTTTAGTTATTATATCTATTATTATTATTATTATTATTCTAAGATAATTTAGATCTAATATTTAAGTTATTTCTAATAAACTGGATTAAATATTATGATAAAAAGCTATACCAATTGATAAAATATAAGTTTTACAATTATACATATATATACATATATACATCTGTTTTTTTCACATGTGTTATACTTTCAACAAGTAATAATTGATATCAAGTAGAATAGTTGTGCTCATTATTTGTTTACAAATTACAACATAATATAAATATTTTATTGTTCAACTTGATTAATTCTTGATATTAAGTCAAAAAATTTATTTATTAAGTAAATGAGATAATTTACTTTTTGGACCTTAATCAAAAAGTTGATTGACTATATTTAAATATTGGAATATTTTTTAGCAAATACTTCAATTATGTAAGATATATAACCATATTTCAAAGATATACATATTAATGTTATAAAACTTAAATATATTACAATATGATAAAAAAAAAAAAAATGATAGAAACATGAAATTTTTTTCTTTAATTCTAAAAAATCATATTATATTATTTAATACTATAAAAAATCTTTTAAAAAGAGTATAAATCTTTAAAAATAAAAAGGCAATATCTTTAAAATAAGTATATAGCCACAATACAGCTAGATTATTAAAGAATAAATATATAACCATTTAGCAAGATTCGAATACTACATTCATTATATAAGATATACTTAAAAAATAAAATAATGTAAATGATGTTTATATATTCTAAAAGGTCAAGCACAATCACACGCCTTTTAAGTAGAACATGACTTCTTAGCAATACATTATTACATATACAATAAAAATTTATAACTATTTTAAAAAGATTTTGGTGGTTTCAAATGTGAAAATCTGTTAAAATATGTTATTTGATTGTATGAGACTTACTCTCTAGTAAAAACTTTATATCATTATATAAATTAAATTTTCAATTTTTTACTTATTCTATAATAAAAATATTTTCATCTTTTATCTAAATTCATTATAGATCCTTTGACCTCAAATGTTTATAAAATAGTTTGTACAATAGATGATTTATTTTATGAAAAAATATATATGTTATTTGTTGTATGAAAATTTTTATTAACGAAGAAACTTCTAAAAAAATACTAAATAATATTTACTAATTTTATAGACTATTAATCAATTTTATACTTAACTAATTATTTTTATTTATAAAAAATTTTAAATGGCACTTTTTGAGATATTAAAATTTGATATTAAATTATATATAATTTTTATTATCAAATCTAAAAAATATTTAAATTTAGATTTAAAATAATATTTTATTAATTATCTTCAAGATAATATGGAACTTTCTTACCTTAAGTAAGATTTTTATGTAATAATATAATATATTCATTTGCACAATTTGTTTCCAATTATAGTTAACATGTATGATTTTATATTTTTGATTTTTAAAATATAATTTTTTCCAAGTTAAATTTCAGAACTTTATACACTAGTAAAGATAAAAGTTTAAAAAACATTTATACAAAAAAAAAAAAAAAAAAAAAAAAAATCCATTCAAAATAGTGACAAAACTTAGTTGTTTTGATGTAACATCAAAACCAATTGATCTTATAATTATATTGATTATCAAAGACTCGAAATCTTTATTATCTAAAAAAATAATAATCTAGTTGTATGTTGCTTGCAATTACTTAAATTATTAAAAAATTCATCATATTTTCTATATGTCTCTTAATAAATTGTATAATATATTTAGTATATTTTAAGAGAAGCAGTTACCACCACTTCTTATTTAAACCATTAGTAATTGATAATATAAGATAGAATAAGGTTTAGATTTTATACAATGTTAAAAAAATCAAAATATCTTTTTATGCCATGGTGTATGTAATATTAATAAGTAAACACAAAGGTCATCTAAGGATCTCATAAATGCATTAGTATTAGTTGTTGGTTTTTATTTTCAAAATTTATCAAAAAAAAAAAAAAAAAAAAAAAAAAAAAGACTAAAAAATATTAACATATTATACATAATATAAAAAGGTTCAACAATGAATTCTTTATTGCCTCTACTTAGAGAAATCTTTCATAATTTTTTTGTTGAAACAAGATAATAAACCACTGGGCAACATATTTATTTCAAGGACTATTATTTAAAAAACTTCTAAATCAACCATTAAATTTTTCTCAAATTTAAAATTAAGATAGATATTTTTAATAAATATATATTTTCTTTAAATAGATGGTATAATGCAGTACAAATTATATTAAAATTTTAGTAGAAAGTCTTACTGCTTTATATGACTGTTGCAAATAGATACTACACATGATCACATTTTAATTTATTATTAAAATATAATTATTAAGGTATTAATAATAATAAAATAATTCGGTGGTCTTCTTGCTAGAATATAGGACATGATTAATGGCTCAAAGTACTTAACAATAAGCTTCAAGTAAAACATTGATTAGAATTTATAATAAATATAATTTGATTGATCCTAAATTCAATCAACATGTAATTTTATTTGACCACTTCTTTTTTCGTTTGTCTCTAAAAAAAAATTATAACAGTTGCCTAAACATAATTTTTAGAAATTTAAAATACTCATGTTTTATTATATCATTGTATAAAAAATTATGTCATTTACAATAAGAGATATAATATTAAAAAAATCAAATTAAATGAAAGCTTTGACTTGAAATAAAAATAAATCATTATTTTGAGTTGAAAACTATATATATATATATATATATATATATCGATTTTAAATAATATAATTTCTATCTATTTTTAAAATTGTAATCTTTAATGTTTTAAAATATTAAGAGAGATGTATACTTTATGTTTTTAAAAAATAATTTTAAAATCAGATTTAATTGTATGAATACATAATAATTTTTAATATTATCATATTTAAAAATATCTTACATATTAATAGAGTTTTAAAAGTTCATTTATATCTAAATCTAATGAATAAATGTATCTTTTATGTACAATACATGATTTGAATATACTATCCTAACAATGTACAATTGACTAATAAAATAAAATAAAAAAATACGTACATATGCAATAATAAAATTATCTTTAATATACTCCACAACTCACCTTCAATTTATGTCATTTCTTCATACAACTATATAAATATATAGTTATATAGTTATATAGTTATATAGTTATTGTACATAACTAAAAAAAAACTACAACATTTTTTAAAATAATAATCAAAAGCCTTTTTAGAAGTAAATTATTTATGTTCATTTTTATGTTTAAGGTATTTTTTTCATTATAAGCATTCAAAAGTTTTTTTTTTTTTTTAAATAAAATTTTGACAAAAATGATCTTTTTATGCATACAAACTCCACATAAAATGATTGTAATATTGTAGTTGGATCCAATAAAACTTTAATCAAAGCCCATATATTATCTTGATCAACAGAAAGGTTGTCAATGAAATATTTTGTTATCAAACCATATTTCTTGGTAACACATCTCTTCACTTTTGTATTCAACAAAGCTTATAAACTATGTGATTTTATTTGAAAAATTTAAATTTAAAAACTGTAGAGCTACTGGATTTTAGTATCATAATGATTATCTACAAAAATTTAATTTTATTTGATATATTATAATTATCCACAATATCTATAAAATATTATTTGGAACTTACTGAAAGAATAAAGGAAATAATAATAATAATAATAATAAGAAAATATGCAGCACTGAAATTATGAATTTCTTTTTTTTATGCGGCTTTCTTTTGTACAAAACTCATTTCTTTTAATTTGGAATTATGGTTTTGTAAAACAATTGATCTTACAATTCAACCTAAATCAATCATGGAGAAATCTAATTGTTATAAAATTTAATTGACATTTGCATTTTTCCTTAAAAAGTCTAATGAATTGTTGAGTCTATGTTTATTGAGCTTCAAAATTCTTTAAATGAATTTATACAATATTACGCAGATCCATTAACACAAATGAGCAGGATTCGTAACACAAGGATACACTGTTGAAACAAACAAACGGATGAAAGTGGATGAAAAAGAAACAATTGTTTTACAACTGTCTTATTTTAGAACTTATTGAGAATAGAAAGTAACACAATCAGTAGGAAATACTTTTCAAATCCTTTTGGATTTTCATTGAAATCCCGACAGTAACAACGTTCCATTTCATCCATTGATGTATATGTTCGAAAGGATTCATTATTTTCACTAAAATAATTTCTCATGGCGATATGCAAGCTCAAATTGGATCAGCGTATTTTTCAATAAAACAGTAATACATCGAAAAAATACAAACACGATTTTTATAGTTATTACACGAGGAAAGAGAATAACAAAAAAAACTATCTTTCAAAATTTTTCTCTGCTGAGATGAGTTGATTTTCAGAGCCGTAGATAATTACTTCTCTAAAGTGTATCCCTAAAGATTAATTACTAGAAAAGAAGCAACATAGTTATATTCCCGTGTAAATCTCTATCTCCCCCAAAAAACTCAATAGCATGTTCAAATCTAAACATTTATCACATCAAAGTATTTATCTCTTAAAACAGCGTTTTAGAACTTTAACCCTAATACTTGCAGAATATTACAACAAGTTTACTAAATATTGTGTGCATTTACAGCACAGCTAGAGCCTCGAACGCTGCGCAGAAATTGGGCAAGACCAAAAGGGGGACCCAGACTTGTCGACGACTCTTGAAAACAGGAGAACTGCGCCAGAGATAGGGCGAGTTTCGGTGGCCGAAGTGTGCGTGAGGAGTATAAAATGGACTGAAACCGTTGACTATTGGGTCCGAGGAAACCGTTTTCGCTTCCGGATGCGAGCATTGGGGAGCATGTGCAGGTGAGTCCACAGATGCCACTCCGAATTCGCTTCTGTAGGCCCCTTAACTCCCGCCCTTTGTAATCGGCGTGGTCAGCTTGAAGAGGGTGTAGGATACTTTGTCTAGCAGGTGAAGCTGGCGCCGCCCAGACTGTGATTTGAGGGGATTTGTCTTGCTCATTTCTCATTTCTCGTATTTTTTTTATTTTTTTTATTTTTTTGTTCAGTTCTCTTGCAGATATATTTTTTTCTTCTCGAATCTCTGTCTCTTCCCAAATCGCACTCAGCCTTTGGGTGCAGTTGGTGCAGTGGTTTCCTAGTTTGTGGGGGCATCTGAAATCTTGCTGCTTCTTTCGAAGTGTAGCTTAACCGAGCCGTAGATCTTGTGTAGACTACCTGCATTCGAGCTGGCCACTGCCCCATCGCCATTTTAGGTGCATGGTCTTTTGTATGTGAGAAGAACGATGGTGGTTCACGATAAGGAGAGGCAAGTTGAACAATTTTCGGAGCAAGATTTGGGCTAGCATTTTCGTGATGAAGCCCTTGGAGGTCCGTTTTTTTACGCGCCTTTTGTAAAGGCGACCAAGACCGGAGCGCGTATTCTCTATTGCCGCAGGTGAGCAACCTGGATCTACCTCCACTTGCTTCGTGGTGTCTGGAACTTTGGTTTTGCAAATGTAAAGGGTGGGGATATAAGTCTGGCTTCTCTAGGGGAAGATTCGTAAGTTCAGGGGCGCATGTGACAAACGTATGCAGTCACGATGGATTTGGGGTGTAGCGGCAACTGGGTGTGACAATCTTCAGAATCGAGCTGATGATGATTATGGTGATGTGTGTGTCTGCCTCACTCCACTGGCTTGACCTCTGCGTTGCCGGATCGTGACCCTACAAATACAGTGTATACCCTACCATGAAGTGTCGAATAAAGAAAATATTCAATCAGAATGATCCATCTATCTGTAACTGGTGGAGGTGTAGATCCTGCATCATCTCCGTTGTTTACATTTGGAAGGTACTAGACAAAGTAAGATATGAATTTCAAATTATGAAAACTAAGGAATAGTCATTGTAATAGTACTTCCCTAATCGGATCCCGTAGAAGGAATATTTTGCAGTAGCTGGAACCCTGAGATTTCTAATGACAATCGCGCCAATTGCGCTGCAACTCACAAGTTTCCTTGTTTTGAACAGATATCAACCGTGAATAAATTTTTGGAAATGTGAAGTCCAATGGCTTCTGAGCATCGCAGAATCCTCAGCTACTTTTTCGATGAAGGACGGGCTAGTAGAACATTCACCCTGGAGGAAGGCATTAATATAAATAGACTTCCCGTATTATTGTGCTTTTTTCTCTTCTTCACCACCTTGGTGACCTGCCAGCCTGATACCTCCTTCACGTACTCCAAATTCGGTCCTGGCTCTGTCACACTTGTGGGCGACTCCCGAATCATGCCCGATGGCAGACTCCGTTTGTGCAACATATCCGTTGATGTGGAGGGTCAAGTTACATCTGTTGGAAGAGCACTGTACCCCACTCCAGTCCAATTGCGGAACTCAACCACGGCAACGATGGCCTCTTTTGAAACTTCCTTCACGTTCTCCATCGACACGAAACTCGGAAATTTCGCTTTGAGCTCACCATCCGGCATGGCCTGGGGTATTTTCCCTGATAATCGAACGATTGGAGATTACGGTCTTTACTTGGGCCTAATGAATAGCTCAACTGATAATTTTTCCAACAAAGTCTTTGCCATCGAGATTGACACAGGATTCAGCGAATTCCCTGGTTACAATGATACCAGCAGCTGCCATCTTGGGGTTGACCTCACAACGATGAGGTCCGACCCTGTGTTCGACATGGCGACCCCTCCTGGCAGTCAGACAAGCCCGTGCATTCAAAACAGGGGAGTGTTTACGCTTCATATCCGTTACAACGGTCTCAGCCATATCCTCCTTGTGGATTTGCTCGACATCGGGGGCGAGTCAGTGGGAAGAATAAATACTACAAAGAACTTATACCCTTATATGAACGACCAAATGTTCGTTGGATTCTCCGGTTCCGGAATTTACATTACACCGCAAGAAGACTCAGTTTATTCTTGGAATTTTTCTTCCACATTTACATCACCTGTAACACCATCTTCAGCGCCACAGCCGTCCACTCCACCCCTACAGTCGTCCCCTCCAGCGACACACCCGTCCGCTCCTGTCACTTTGACACCAGGAGAAAATTGCACATCAACTCCCTGCTCTAATTCGACATCCTCTTCCAACAAGGGCCTCATATACGGTGCCGCTGCTGGTGGAGCTGGTGGTCTTCTGCTCTTGCTTGGACTAGGACTAGGATGCTTTTGCTGCAGAGGGAAGTCCTCAGAAGCCGGAACATACAGCCAAGAAACGATTCCAGGAGGTGTCGCAGTGGTTGGACCTCGGAAGTTTACCTACAAAGAGCTCAGCTTAGCCACTAAGAACTTCAGTCAATCAGAGCTTTTAGGAAAAGGAGGCTCAGGAAGTGTCTACCGTGGAATTCTTCGCGACTCTGGAGCCATGGTCGCGGTGAAGATGATCCAGGCTGACAGGTCACAAGAACTGGCGGAGAAAGAATTCCAGGCGGAGGTGTCTATCATAAACCAGATCCGACACCGGAACTTGGTGCAATTGCAAGGTTGGTGCAACGAGAAGGGGATGCTCTGCCTCGTCTACGAGTATCTTCCAAATGGAAGCCTTGACAGCCTGCTGCGCAAAGAAATGCAAGCACCGAACACGGTAATCCCCTGGGGAACGCGCTACAACATTCTCACTGGCGTCGCCGCAGCCTTAGCTTATTTGCACGAGGAGGTCGGCCAGTGCATCCTGCATCGCGATCTGAAGCCCGGGAACATCCTTCTCGACGTGAACTACAACGCCTGTCTGGCCGATTTCGGTCTCGCGCGCCTCACCGAGCACAACCAAGCGGCAGCAACCACAATGCTGGCGGGCACACTGGGCTACATGGCGCCAGAGCTTCCGCAAACTGGCAGGGCAACCACGCAAACGGACGTATACAGCTTCGGCGTTCTAATCGTGGAGATGATCTGCGGCAGACGGCCAACAGACGTCGACCGCGACACACAGATGCCGCTTCTCGACTGCGTCTGGGCCGCGCACGCTGGCAATGACATCTCTTGCGTCGTGGACGCCAAAATCCGCGACGATCGAGACGCACAGCAAATCGAGCGAACTCTTCTCCTCGGCCTCTTGTGCTGCCATCCCGACCCAATCTCCAGACCCACCATGCGCAACGCACGACAAATCCTCACGGGCGATAGTCCACTTCCCCCGGTCCCTACCGAGAAGCCGGTTGTGAAGTGTGCAGTGTACTCGCAGTATGGCTCTTACTCCGAGTTCGACACCTCGCACGGCGATGGCTACGACCCGCCCGAGGCAATCAGTAAAGCCAGCAGCAACACCAATAGCAAGTATAGTAGCTACAGCACCAATACCGGGTACAGCACCACAGACCACGACAGCTTCTCCTCTCAAGCTAAATCTATCCTTTGATTATTTAATTAATTAGGCCCCTCATTTTTGATGAATCCCACTTGGGTTCTTCGTAGGCTTATTAGCTTTGAATGCGCGACGCAACTGCCTCCGCTGCTACTCCTCCTCCTGCTGAGGTTTCTCTTGTTTCCACCTGTCAATGGAGCTCCTCTGTCTTTCTACTTTTGTTGAGTTTTGACGAACTGATATATTGAAAGGTTGCCGAGTTCGGTAAGTCCTGAATTTCGATTTGGTGTGGCTGAGCTCATGTGTAAAGGAGACTTAATAGTGTTGAAGGCTTCACTGAAACATCATAAAAGTAAGATGTTGAAATGAAGTGGACGTCTGTGGAGTGGTTGCAGGATTTTATTTATTTATTTATTTTTATTTGATTTTTTGGCATGTTTTGCATCACATCAGTTTGTTTTCACGTCAGCATGCTTATTCATTGTGAAACTCCACAGCTACGTTTTTTGGCTTCATAAGCGGACTTGAAAGTTTGCTTTCTATTTTTCTCGTCGATTGTCTGCATTGCAAAAAAGTTAGAAGATTTAAATTTTAATCGTTGTTTACCTGTCTATTTATTTTGTTGTTTGTGTTCAAACCTTGCAACCTGCATCATTATTTTTATTTTTTAATACTGGTTTTTTTCACTGGTCGACATGTATGTATACTGAAAGTTACACCCAAAACTATGCACCATTAACATGGTTTTGTTATGTAGTTGAAGAATTTGATTATTCAATATTATGCAAGCAATTCATATTTTTTTATGCATTTTGCATTATTTATTTAACTTTGTTGCTTACAATTTAAGTATCACATGAGTTATTTAAATTTTAAATAAAATTTATTTAAAGATCTTTATACCCAAAAGCATTACTACAAAAAGTCATGGTTCAAATGCCTTCTAAAGGCCTCGTACTTAGTAGAGAAAATACATTCTTCAGAAGCCTTGATATAGCATGAAGTGAGAATAGATATTAAGATAAACCAAATTTTCATTTTTTTCATAATCTTGAATAAGATTGCTAATATTTTGATTCTAACAATCACACACACACACACACACACACACACATATATATATATATATATATATACAATATTTTTAAATTTTTAATATAAATTTTTAGCAATTTTTTTACATGATTTCTAAAACTTTTTCTAAACATATCAATTAAATAGAAATGATAGAAGTACATACATATCTGTCTTAGATATGTATGTCATGCAGTTATCAAAAAAGTTTTATACTTTTTAGAAGTTATGTTCGAAGCAACTTGATGCTTGAGCCTTGTAGTCTCTAGGAAGATCCTACAAGACATCTTTTGTAGCTTGTATAATTTAAGGCAAGATTGAGGCCATCCATACTCTTCTCAATATGTTTCTTGTGTTGCAACCTTAGTTCAATACTCTCTAGTCTCTTTGTATTTGGCAATAGCCATTATGATTCATTTCTATCATATACCTATATATTTTTTCTTTACTTTCTTTTCTCTTTAGTGACATACAAATGTGTTTTCTTTCAAATTTTGTCTTAATTTACGTCCTTGACATTTGGCTAATTTTTATAAGTATTAAACTAATAAAAAAAAAAAAAATCCAAAATAATGAAGGAATACTTAATTAAGACTTAAAAAAATATAAAATTTGATAAATTCAAATCAAGTAAGATTTAAAAGACAAATATTAAAAAAACTGAAATTAATTACTTACAAAAAAAATACACTAAAATATAATCAATAAAAACTAAAAATAAATACAAATAAAAGCAATCAAAGAAATTTAGAATGCTTCTAATATATTAAATTGAGATAGATAGAAAACTAAACATGACCTTAAAAAAGTATTAAAAAAGGCATTTCTTACAATAAAAAGATATCCATAACAGATATTAAATAAAAATTAATTTAATTTAAATATTATATTTTACTTTTTAATAAAAAATTAAATAAATCTAAAAAATATCTCATAGAAAGATTTTGATTAAGTTTCATTATTGTTTTCAATCAAAGTTTTAAATTTCGCTTAGATTCTTTCAAATAAGGAACATTGTGATATTGAATAAATTAGTTTACTTCTTTTATTAATATCTTATTTCTAATATATTAAAATATTTCTTTAATTGTAATATAAATATTTATTTATAAAATTATATTAATCAACAAATAAAAAATAAATAATAAAAATTATTAAATTTTTTTATATCATTGATTTAAAAGAAGTTATCTATATACTATCTAATTTGATTTTTAAAAATAATATGCAACTAACAATCATATTATAATCTTAAATGATAAAGATAGAAAGAATTTGATAAAATATGTATTTCATAGAAATTTTAATTTTAGCTTTATTATCATAAAGACTATAAGAACTTGATGGTTTATCTATAAATTACAAAATATCACAATTCTCAATATAAAATTACTGGTTGATAATTATCCAAGTTATTAAAGTTAAATTTATTAAAAAAAATGTAGTATATATATGAAAAAAATAAAATTTTAACATTTTCTTTGTAGCTTTGTAACATATTATTATAAATATTAATAGTTGATTATTAATTTATATAGAAATTGATAATGAAAGGTCTTAAAAATATATTTCTTAGATTTTTTCAAGAATAATTAATTACACTCATTGTCAAGGACAAAGACTCGATGAGGGAAAATATACACCAAAAGGCTATCTCGATATAATAAGTCAAAATATAAACAAGTAGGTATATTAAAAGGAAATTGGAATGGCTATTGCCACAAGACAAGAAACTAAAGACTCTTGAACCTGGACTAGAAGCAAGAAAGGAGTTGACAAGAGTGAAGAAGCCTTCACTCTTGTCTCTATATATACTATCTAACTAGGGGCTACGTGGCGACGTTCTATAGGACCTCCAATATGTGTTGACTTTGTAGGACACATGCCTTGACTTACAAGGCAAGTTTTTCTACGTGTGGGCTACATAGTTACCTTGATCTTCAAGCTAACAACATGTGTGGCACATGGCCAACTTGTTGACCACGTTTCTAATCCAAAAAGTCAATTAAAGACACCTATGAAGTCAAAGCAGCGTCTAGGAAGTTTCTAGGAAGCTTCCATATTAAATATTATAGAATTAACTTACTTTTATCTACTTTTACTTACTTCTACCTATTTCTATATGTAATTATTAGCTTACATGATTATGGCCGTGACATTACCCCCCTTCTAGAGACGAGTTCCACGAGGAGCGGTCATCATATGTTGAGGAAATCTATGATGTGACGAATTGTATTCGCCACATACTCTGATCTCTGTTCTCTTCGAAGATGATTGATAGGGCCTCTCAACCATCGGTAGTGTCCCATACCAAGGCGGGAAGACCACCCAGTTATTTGATCATTGTTGAGGCCTTCGTAACTTCCTTCGAATAGAATATTTGGAACACCATCAGGAGTTGTTCCTACCTCTAGCAAAATCACCAAACATCGAGAGTCCCTTCCCAAATCGTGATACCAAACGCGTTGTATCTCACCATCTATTCGAGGAAGAACATGTTGTTCTTGAAGATCTTCATCTCGATTGCGTCGTCTTGAAGGTTGTAACAATCGTAATGTCTCGTCCGACAGGTCAGCAAACGAAGGTTCTTGAGTTGAATCCGCTGGTTGTTGGCTCTCCATCTAATTAGCGTCACAAATGCAAAGAAGTTACAAATAAGGATAAGAAATTGAATGTTATCTTGCGTCAATCTTGTCTCTTTTATAAGAGAGATTTTCATCTTACTTTTGATGGATGTCATTGATGAAAAACTTTGACTTTAGCTGATGCATTTGCTAGATTCCTGGATGGCTCCCATGTGCGTTCACTAATATCATATCCGCACCAATGAACAAGATATTCTAGCTTATTTCGGCGCCGCCTTAAGTCTAATATCTCTTCCACCTCAAATTCTTCATTATTATCTACTTCTATAGGAGGCGATAGCATTTGTCTTCTTTCTTGTATATCCACTGTCTTATATGGTTCAAGAAGAGACACGTGGAATACAGGATGGATCTTCATTGACTCCGGTAGATGTAACCGATATGCAACTGGGTTGATCTGTTCAGAAACAGAAAAGGGGCCAAGCCTACGATAGTCCAACTTGTCACAAGGTCGAGTAGTCTTGATATTGTGAGGAAGCAGCCATACCTTATCACCCACATTGAGTTGTGGTTGCTCCTTACGATATAGATCTACGTTTATCTTTTGTCGTTCTTGAGCTTCCTTCAATTGCGTCTTCATTTTTGCATGTAACTCTGACAACCGATTTGCCATATCTTTTGCTGCAGGATTATCAACTTTTGAAAAATCAAAAGTATCAAGTCGTGGATGATAGCCATAATTGGCAAAGAAAGGTATTTGTTGCGTGGAAGAATGTACCGTATTATTATAAGCAAACTCTGCCAATGGCAGAAGGGTTGTCCAATCATCTTGTTGGTAGTTGATAGTACACCTTAAATATTGCTCCAAGACTTAGTTTACGCGCTCTGTTTGTCCATCAGTTTGAGGATGGAAAGCCGAAGATAGCTTTATGTCCACTTTTAAAATCTTGAAAAGGGTCCTCCAAAATCTTGATACAAATTGAGTTCCCCTATCCGATATGATATCTTTAGGTAATCCATGATAGCGATAGATATTATCAATAAAACGCTTAGCTGTTTCTTCACCTGTGATAGGTTTTGTACATGGTACAAAATGTGCCATCTTGGTGAAGCGATCTACTATCACAAATATAGAATCATAAGATCTTGAGCTTGGAAGATCTATGATGAAATTCATAGAAACAGAAGACCATGGTTGTTCTGGTATAGGTAATGGCTGAAGAAGTCCGTAAGGTCGATGACGAGGAATTTTTGATCTTGAACAAATATCACATGATTGTACAAAGTCTTTGACTGACTTCCACATTTGTGGCCACCAAAAATCTCTTGATATGAGTTCCAAAGTCTTATTATATCCAAAGTGCCTTGCTGCTGGAAAGTCATGACGTGCTTGAAGAACACGTAAACGTGCTTCTCCTTCTGGAACATATAGGCGTCCTTCAAAATATAATAGATTATTCTTGAACTCGAACTTAGAAGGATCATGAGACTTGGAAGAATTATTCTCGATATCATAAACAAGAGGGTCTGAGGACATACTAGACTGGATTTGCTTGAGAAAAGTTGAATCATCAATCAATGTTGATTTCATTGCTCGGAGATGAAATTGCTCCGGTTTCAAGA